GCAGTAGAGAAGCACATGATGGAAAGATTTTATTTCTTTATTCTAAAACTATAACAGCTAGTATTTCCAGCTTTCATAAATGATTGTGGCTCACTCAGGCTTTACAATATTACTATTTCTCTTTCTCTTTCTTTTGTTTTAGAGAAAAGATACCCCATTTAGCAAAATGTACTTAGAAAACAACAGAAGATATAAAATATCCAAATATCTGAAACTGAAAACAAATGTCCATCATGTCAACCATGATATTCAGGTAACTCAGGTGATCTTACTGCACCTCCACTTTCTGAAGTGAATGTGTGATGCTACAAAAACAAGTAGAAGCCTGTTTATTTGCTATTAATATTACTACTCATCTTGGCTGAAAATACAGTTGTTCCTGCCTTACAACAAATGCAAAGCTTTTGCTTTTCATATCAAAAAGTGTGATAAGTGATAGGCTTCCAGTGTCTCAAAACAGATTTAAATTACTGTATGCTAAAGTCTTTATAGCAGAGTAAATATAACACATTGGTCTAATTAATTATTATCTATGCAACCAGTTATTAGTTTTGATCATAATATTATGATATTATGAGAATAGTTATTATGCCTGCATACAATATTAGAGCTCATCTGATTATAAAATGACAGAAGTGTCAAACAGTAGCAAGAAACGTGCGCTGATGGATTTTCAAATGCAAAGGTGACAGTTGAATGCACCGAAAAGGCATATAGACTTGAATTTATTACAAGCTGTAATGATCCCATGGCTTAGAAAGAGACTGGGAATACATATTAGACATGCTGTTAGCAGTGGCACTGCAGTGTAAAGCTTCATTATTCAATTCAGTAAATCAATCCACCAAGATTAGACTAGACTTCAGCAGTGACTTCTGATGAATGCTGGCCCTGTGTTTCATTTGAAAACTATACAGCATGCATAGACTCAAGACACAACAATGTTGAGAACATTAGACACTGGAATATGGATGGGATCCATGTGCAATGACTTTGGCGGGACTCCTCGTGACTTTTTTCATGCTTGTACTCAGCTAATGGTGGAATTTAAAGTTCACACCAGGTTCTGATTGGTGGATACCTAATTTGAATGCTCCATGTGGCCAATATGATACATGAGAATTGAATTTGCTTGTACCTAACTTATTTGCAAATGATGAGTCAAACATAAGAATAAACTTAATTTTGTAAGAATATTTATACTCACTCTGTTTATACTCACAATGTTTATACTACGATATATAGTATACTATACTCACTATGACAAACCATTATCAATAGATGTCTACAATTATCCACATACAGGATCTTTTCTCTACCTTCTGTGAGTGCCCCCATTGCTCTGACAAAAGGGTCTTGTGGTGTGTTTGTGGTACAAAGGTAAATTAACAGAGGCAGGAATGAAACCTGATTGAACTTGCAGAGAAAATTAATGAAATGGCACATGGCATTTTGCATTTGTCTTTTTTTCATTAATGCTGATTAAAACTTTTCAATACTGGGGATCGTTAGCACTGTACTACAATAACTGCACTGTAGTTTGCAACGATTCCATCAATTTATGCTCTCTGCATCCAGTCTTCATCTGGGTGTAACAGCTCAGGGTATTTATTGAAATGTGATGAGTGGCACCAGACCAGAAGGACATGCTGTGCAACACCTGAGTAAACACCGCAATGCACTCACAGTCATGTCTATTAGTTAACTATCGTAGAAGCAGTTTGATTGTCACCTGTGCATATTGGGTTCAGTGTAAATGATGTACATTACTTTAGGGAAACTGGTCGAACTCACAGACGGAACACAGAGGGAATACCAGTTTTGTAGCTAGCTTTTAGCTTTTGTAAGCTTTGTAGCTTTGTTTTAGCTAGATAGTTAAAGTTCTTCAAACCCTTGTTAGAGATCAAACATCTATGTCATCTTAAGAGAATGTTTTATTTCTTATTTACGGAAACCTATTTTGTAATTCTTCTTGCATTCACCAAATTCATTGACTGAGCCCCCCTACTTATTTATTTCTTCCATGTTCTGTATCCTCTCACACCACAAAACTGCAGAAACAATTCAATGCCTTACAGTCAGAATAGCAGGAGAGAGGGAAAAAAATCAAACTCAATTTTGCAGCACAATGAAGTACTTTTTAGTCTTGTCATCCTGCTGACTTATTGATCTCTGTGAGATTGAATAGGCACTAATGCAGAGAGGATATTTTCAGATATATTCAGGATTACCACAAAGATAAAGTGGGCTAAAAAAAGGACATAAATATTGTCATAACAATGCGGAGCTTAAATGTGCAAGGAAAAGACCCTCTTAAAGGGTTAGCCTTCCAATCACACATTGAGCCCAAATCGCTTCTTAATCCCAGTTTACTTCATGTACAATTACTCATTATCACTGCAATAGAAATTCAGTTATGTGCTATCCTCTTATAGGTATTATGTCAAATCTGTGAATGACCAAGCTCAATACTTCATCTTATATTTTTAGCTTCAAATTAAAACTGTTTAGACAATTCCCTTCCTTGTTTATCTGACAGTGTGGTCTGATGAAATTTATGTTTATTAATTTACTGATCAGAATCAGTACACAGACAGGCATATAGGGAGCAGATACCTCATATCATTTTATGCATAATATTTAATCCTTAAATACATAAATCTGAGGTTGGTTGTTGGGTTCATTTTAAACCATTAAACAATGTGCCTCAAAGTGATAGTGAAACATGTTATTATCAAGTTTATCTAATCCAGAATAAATAACTGAATTATTTGAATGTACAACAGATGACAGAAACTGGGAAATATTGATTTCAGTTCACACTCCTCTCTTTTACTTGCAATTTCTGACTATATGAAAATGTTCTACTAGTTAGTAGATTTGTCTACTAGAAAACTGAGATGTATTTATTATCTCTGAATTATAAATCTTGTTTCTTTCTGGTATTTTATTCAATGCACATGGGGTTGTTGTGTGTACTCATGCAGCTGCACATTGTGCACTTACACACCACAGAAAGCTTTGAAGAGTAACATTCGGGGTTTATAATTTTAAATTCTGCAGTTCACATGAATTTATTCTTAAAAAATATCCTGCGTGATATTTGATTGGAGTACAATATCCATATACAGGACAAGGAGACCATAAACTCAGGTGACATATTAAAGCAGAAAGAAAAAAAAACACATTTGTGACTTGCAACAATTAATGATTGTGCAGAGTCAATAACGTCAAAAAGGATGATGATTAAATACTAATACAAATAATTGGAATCCAATAAATTCTGTGCATGGTTCGTTATACTATTAAAGCAAATTCTGAATTACCAAGGAAGAGAGACAAAATACCATTAACTAATCAGTTATTTAGAAAATCTCATTTAGATGCAACATGTGTGGCTTAAGTAAGTGGAAACAAGCCAGTGGACAATTCAGCACCACAGGATTAACACTGCTTACGACATTTCAAAAGGCTTTTGTTAATTGGAAACACAAATGTCAAATTAAATGCATCATTGGTGTTGACACAACTACAATCAGATCTTACTTGGCACTAACTGTGATGAATCCAAAAGGTCTAGTTTAATTGGTAAATGACTTATATAAACATAACATTTACACACAAATGTAACAAAAGTCAACCATGAGAACAACAACCTTTTAAAAATTAATGACTGTGCAGAGAAGGATTTTATCAGAGCTAAGAATCTTACGGTCTCTTGTTTCTGCTACATTTAAAGCTCCCAATAAAGAAAGGCATTTATTTTAAAAATCCTTAGCATTTCACAGAAACAACCAAGGCAAAAATTATTTGACTTTGTTATCTGAAGTACAGCACATTAGCATTAAGAAAAACAACTTAAAAATAAGCTTATTTTAAATAAAATGCTGTTTTATGCGAAAGATGTAATGTTGTCACAACTTTTCATCAGCAAATTGCAAGCACTTTTAAGATACAACACAACATTACTGGATACTCAGCCCACTCCTGCACATTTTTGTGAAAGGTTACTTTCAAAACTTACACTTTCTTTTAATCCTTAAAAATAAATGATTTATGATCATATCTTCTACTTCAACCTTAAACACATTGTATTTTTCTTTCCAAACAAAAAAATGGTCCTGCAGTTGGTCCTCCAAAATATCTAACATGATAGATTTCATAGGAACAAGTAATAGGTTTATTCCATGCTGAAAAAAAGAAGAAAGAAAACACAACGTTTCAGCCATGAAGCCTTCTTCAGGTGTGAGAGTCCGGTGTGAGGTCCTTACACCTGAAGAAGGCTCCACGGCCAAAATGTTGTGTTTTCTTTCTTCTTCTTTTCAGCATGGAATAAACCTATTACTTGTTCCTTTGCAGCCTACGCATGCTGACGCAGCTACCCACCTGAACTTCTGATAGATTTCATTGCTACTTTAAAAAAAAAATTACTTACAACAAATTTGACTGAAAAAGGTTTAGAAGGAAAATTAGAACTATTCAAGTTATTACTTGGAGTTAGCATAAAATCAGACAGGTACTGTAGGATCTAAGAATAACTTTTTTTTTTTAATTGCACCAAAAAGCACATTCAGTTTCCTTTCATTTTTCAATCATGATGTCTTTAGGCATCACTTGTTATGCACATTTTTACAGTTAACAACCTTTAATGTTGCCTTCCAGAACTGTATAGTCTAGTATAGTATGGGATGGCATGGTATGACATGGTATGGTATCATAGCGAAGAGTAGTACAGTAGCATATATGAGGCATGCAAAAGCAAAAGGCATACGTTTAACAAATTCAAGGCACCTGAACATTCTTTACAGACGATACCTGTTTCAAAATGCGAATACAGTTGTTTTATTTGAAGAGGCCATTAGGGTACCATAAGGCAAGGTAATTTTTAGCAATAATTCAGAGTCTTTCTTGTGATGAAACGGCCAATAAGAAATACATTTTATTTCATCTACTGTGTCATAACCTAGACAATAGATGCCCCTGTTTCAAAGCAGCCTTACCTGTTTGAGGGAGGAGTGGTGTGTAAGGGACTTTGGGCTCTATGGTGCTCATTGGAGGAGGCAGAAGTGGGTTGGCAAAGCTGCGAAGAGGATGGGTGGGCCGTACGCAAGCAGTGGGGATGGTCCTGCTGGGCACCTCCTCTGAACCTGCATGTTCTGACTGTGTGGGTGCAAGTAGAGTCTGCTGCTGGGAGTGTGGTGCAGAGCTCTCAGCCATTGCTACAAAAAAAAGGCATTTGTTCACTGTAATTTAAGGGGCAACATAGGGAACCACAAGCCTACTGGTACAGCCTACAGCACAGGATATTATAAATTTAATACTGATTTATTGCACAAGCATTCACCCTCCGTCAATACTTGGTGGAAGCACCTATGGCAGCCATCGTTGTCCATTCTTTGCAGACTTGCTCAAGCTTTGTCAAGTTTGTTGGGTATCATTGGAAAGCACCTTTCAAGTCTTGCAACTGATTTTCAATTAAAATCAACTCCAGTGTAGCTTTGGCTTTGTGCTTTGTGTCAGTGTCCTGCTGAAATGTAAATTCAGTTTTCAAATTAACCAGTTCACAGTCCATGTCTTAGCCCATGTAAGATGAGATGTTTTGTCAGACACCTTCAAAAAATAAATTTAGTAGAATTATGAATTATTTGTTGAACAAATAAAATTTGTTTAATTTATGTTTCAGTCCACAATGGAAAGTCATCTTGATGGTGAGGTAGGAGAGCAGCCAAGATACAGCCCCCATTATGCTTTATGATCAGGTATGTCTGCTGGAAAGTAGACAATGTTTCTCATTGTGTCCTTAAAGTTCAAGTTTTAACTAGTCTCTCCAGAGAAAAATCTTCCAGTAGTCTTGTGGATCACCCAGGTGCACTTTGGAAAACTTTTATGTACAGCATTTATGTACTGAGAGAGCAAAGCTTTCTTCCTGGCTTTCCTTCCCTGAAAACACACGCATGAAGAATGTTCTCTGGAGTATTTTCCTGATGGTTGAGGCATGAACACTGACATTATCTGCAGCACCAGAGGCCTCTAGACTCTTTTGATGTTGCTGGGTGTTGTCGTCAATGGTCCTGAATATTATCCACTGTCTATCTATCTAATAGTGGTTAGATAGAGCCTCAGATGCTTAGAACTGGTTTTAAAACCCTCTCCAGACTGATGAGCATCAACTACTCTCTTTCTGAGGTCCTCTGAAATCTCTTTTGAGTGTGGCATGATGCGCTTCCACTCACCTGTATAGTGAAAATCAAACTTAGAAAGTTTCTGACCATTACATAAGACAGGTCTATCCATACTTAGTCCTTGTTTACCTGTTACTAGTTACCCAATTATTTAACCACAAACTTCTAGTTATCCCCTTACTTGTGCTTTGTAAACAAGGGTATTGCATATTATTTCAACTCTGCCGATTATTACTACTAGTGATAATAAAGATCATTATTACTAATGATGGTTTTTACTTCATACTCCACAGAAAACATTTTAATGCTGAGAAACATATGTTTTTATACTTATATTGGGGATTCACATACTTTGTTTTTCTCAGCACTGTACCTAGAGATAAAGTAATATAATGAGGCAAATACAACAAAATTCAACCTACTTGGGACACTGTTTAAGTTACTGCAATTACATCTGGAGATAAGCTTAACTTTAAAAAAAAAAGAGAGAAAATCAAAATCAAGCAAAAAAAAAACATCTAATGAAATGGACTTGGTCTGAGTGTATGATGTTTTCATCCATAATTAAGAGGGAAACTCATGGATGTTGAAGGTGCTTCAGGGGTGTTTTAATGAACAATATATGCTGAAAATATTTACAAGTTTGGGAATGCAGTTGCTCTGAGACACTGTAGTAAACTCCAGTCATTAGTTAATCGGGTCAATAAAACGAAAGTGATGCTTTTAATTGTGAGCTTTCATTTTATCTGTAATCCTGTAAAAGAAATGTACAATATTCGGGCTGAAACCAAGAATCAACGAACCACCTGAACAGCTGTCCCTAAGCCCGATTCAAAAATACAGTATTTGAAATATAAATGACTCAGTAATTTTGTCAGAGTGTGAACCACTCTGTAAATGGTTCCTATTTACATTTCTGTTCATTCATTTTGTTTGTATAAACATTCCAATTGCAATTGCAATTTAAAACTAGAAATGTGTTCAAACCTATGGATAACTGCCTACTCTTGATTTCTTTTCGTGTTTAGATGAATTCCCCCAGGACTGATATGAAACAAGGTAACTCTAATACCTTCTTGATTAATAAACTTGTACCTCAGTACTTTTGTTTCTCTTTGTTATGGACAATACTCAGAGCAATCATGATTTTCATAATACTAAATAGAAAAACTGCTGAGTACTTATTTTACATTATTTATGTTGCAAAAAACCTGCTATCAGAATAATGGATTTCAGATTTCAAAGCATTAAGCACTTTTTTAATATTTCAAAGACAGACACACTGTTTTGTGAATAAAATGGAAACTATGCAATTTAAATGCTAATAATTCTAAACAGCCCCTAGATTACTAAGTATTCTATTGATTAGTTACAAATTGCATTAGCAGCTGATTTTCTTTTAAAAAACATAGTGCGATTATTTTGTGAACACCTTTATGGATATGACTGTGTTTATTTTAATATGGAAGATTCGTCCACTAAGTGTGCATGCAATGTTCTTTGATGATTTACTGTATTTCACAGGATGGCAGACTGTCTGAGGGAAAGAAACAGAAAGAACAGGATTCTGTGTTGGTCTTTACCTGATGCAAAGCTGCGTTCAACGGAGAGTGCTGGGAATGGCACAGACCGCAGGGTGAACTGAGGATGGGGGTACCCACAGGTAGGTGAAGGCAGGATCCCTGGGTACTGGGCACTCTCTAAAGTTGGCACTGGTATAGCACTTACAACAGCTATAAAAAAAGGAAAAAAAATATTCAAAGTTAAATAATATGAATACAAAGATGAATTGCAGTACATCACAGATTTTTGCAGACTAACTTCATAGATTAAGGTGTAGCATAACTATTTAAAAAGCACACTTCCTTGTGTGATATACTGTAGGGATATACTGTACAGCAACAATTAACAGATCTATTTGTCAACTTCTTGCATGTTGTGGGTAACGTACAAAGATACAATTAATTTGTGTTACTATAGACGTCTGATGCCAGCCCTATCCTGAACACTTCACCCTTCGCCCTTACAGTAAATGATGCACTTTCAAAGGTCACATTGTTCAGAATGAACACCCTTCTATGGGCAATGTCATTAGGACTGCCCAAGATCGTAAGCTCAAGTGTCGTGTGATACACATGCACACTTGTTATAATAACAGAAAAAAAAATACACTGCACTAATAAACACCCAGCATTGATTTTACAATTAAGTTAAATATGGAATGTTTGGTTCAGATGGAAAGATCACCAAGCAAGACAGTTTTGCAGGACTAGGCCCTGCGGAGTATATTTATAGATACAGTCATAGTTGCTCAAAATGGAAAAGTGAAGAAGGGAATGGAAGAGTGATTGTGCTTTGACCTTGAAAGCGAAACTTAAAAAAAACACAAAGAAAACTGCCGAATGGCAGGGGAGCTTGGCTCTTCGAATGCCTGAGGAGCATAGGGTTGAGATCCGTATCTCCTCTGACTCTGAAATGGTGTCAAACCTGGAATAACTGCTTGAGAAGTTTTTGCTATCAGGCGGAAAAAAGGCTCGGCAGCTTATAATGTATTCTCTCTAAAAAGATTTTATTTAAAAGTTCCATTAACTTTTTCAGTTAGTGGAAGTATTTATTTTGTACTTTGAGACTGAAAGTTGACTTACAGTAGAATTATTTGAGAAGGTCTGTCTGTATTATAGGGGGAAGACTATGTCCTCTGTAGTGTAAGTTAGCACAGAATTTAAATAAAACCCTATCTAAAAAGACTTACAGCTAATAGTATAATTATTCACAAGCAGATGAACAAAGAGGTACATAACTACATGTAACTTAAGAAACAACGTGAGTCTTAACATGTTACATTTTTAATACATTTGATTTGTAAATAGAAATGCAGCACTATACATACTGTAAAGGGGTTATATGTAAATATTTATTTAATTATATATAGTTTGTTGTTCTGTTGTGAAGAGCTCCAAATTAAAAACGAAGAGAGAAAGATATTTAATTCGACTGTCTAAATGTGAGATCTTGATCAGGAAAAAGTAGAAAATAGATCATAAGCTAAAGTCGAGAATATGAAGCAAAAATAAAGCATTTTCACTCCTTCAGATATTGAATACAGGAGTCTGTGATGTTTCCTTATAGGGCCATGACCAATGACACTCTCCTTAGATCAAGACTTCTGTCTTAAAGGTGGAAAATGCATCAGTTCTTTTAAAATAAACCTTTGTTCCATGACCACTATAATTAATTTAATATCTGTGAATGGTAAATAGTCATGCCATAATAAGCAATTAAGAAATAAGGTAGTATCACATTTTGAAGCACAAAGTTAATGTTCAAAAATAATAAACTGATTATTATTCACATTCTTGTATAATAAATGTTAATAAAATATGCACATACTGAAAAGCATGCTTTTCTTTTTAGAAAGTAAATGATGGCTCTTTGGTGTAGAATAGGACTGTATCCAAACGGGAATGGGAGGATTGCTGGTCTTCAGTAGTCTGCTACTTACGAGGGTTGTTGGGCTGTGAATCCATGGGAATCATCAATTTGGTACGTGTTGCTCTCCTTGCAGCCAAGGAGCGTTCTAGAGTGGACATGCTGCTTGATGCCTCATCTCCTTCTGCACCTGAAGGGAGAGAACCACAGTCACAAAGCTGACTCAACACCATTTCTATAAATCACAATCGTTAAAACAAGGGAAGAAGCAATAGCTTTATTCCATGCTTCCATCCAGAGAAGAGAGAAAACACAACGTTTCTGCTGTGAAGCCTTCTTCAGGCGTCTTCAGAAGGCTTCACAGCCGAAACATTGTGTTTCTGAAGACACCTGAAGAAGGCTTCACAGCAGAAACGTTGTGTTTTCTCTCTTCTCTTTTCAGCATGGAATAAACCTACTTTATTACTCGTTCCTTTGCAGACTACGCATGCTGACACAGCTACCCACCTGAACCATTAAAACAAGCACATGACACGCCTGATAATGTCTATTTAAGACCAATGTGTTTGAAACACAGGGTTTTAATTTGAACTCAGCATAAAAGACAACACAGAGGCCTAGTGAAGCTGTATATTTAGGGACCAGCAGCAAAGTTCCGTGTTTTTGGGTGGTGCGTTGATTGAGTTCAGGCCACAGTGCTGCTGGTGAGGAATTTAACCCTTACTTCAGATTAAATTTTAACATTTACTTCTGAATACAGTTAAAATGATCAGGGAAAAAAAAAACATTTTTAAAAGAATTTGAAATGCTGCATATTGCTGTCTTGTTATCGGTATTCCAATATGTATCTGCAGTGTGTACATTTTAAAGAAACAAAAGGAGGCAGGAGATATATACTGTACAGTAAAATAATTGATAATAAATTGCACAGAGGTTCCAAATATTTGCATTCCAGAGAACAATTTTAAATGGTTATAATCCAAATTATCTGCCTGTCATTTTGATGGTAAAACACACTTGCTCTTCCTGAAGGTAATATAAATAAAACATGAAAACATATATAGTACAGTACTCATGTTCAAAAAAGAAAAAAATAACTTATAACAACAGTGTGCTAATCTTTACACATAACTAGGACAGTAGTAAATACTGTAGAGTAGAATTTTGTTTTCTTTACTGTATGCGTATGTGATTGCAGAGCAGTCATATCGACTTTCTATAACGTAATTTGTTATTTTCAGGAAATGTGAGTGCCTATGAAATGACAGGCACTTAGTATATAGTTAAAACAAATTGAAATTTCCTTAAAGAAGGCATTTTTATGGAAAACAATAATTATTAAATAAATAAATCATATTAACTCATTTGAAGATCCTAGCAAGAAAGTGAAGGTATTTCTTGCTACTGTAGGTATGAATGAACCTTTTTAATATTTTATTTTTTTAAATGTTGCATTTGAATTATTTTCACATATAAATTGTGATTACTTAAAGGCTTCTAAAGTTCCCCAAAACGGACTATGAGACCACTATAATAAAATATTTTCATTAAAAGTACAGTGGAAGACATCTGTAAGAATATTAAGGATGAACACCACAGTGATAGTAAGTAATTGCAACTCATGCTATTTCTAGTTTTATAATTGTTATTGGTATTATTTATTTGACAGATGCTGAAAGGGGAGACTTGCACTTTCTTGCACAAATAGTAAAATATTTGATAATGATATGTCTGGTTCTGTTTTATTGCTTTGTAAACAGTACTTCAACAAGGAATTTATATTAAAGCACATCTCACAAAAAAAAGTCCATCCATACTATCAATCCATTTCTGGCGAATCATATTATGAGCTCAGTAAATTCCTTTACTCTAGTGTACCCCATTGCATTAGATTCAATATAAAACCAATAGTTGCTTGTAACTATTCCTAAAGTCAAAATTAAAAAGCAGAATGTCCTTTATAATATTTATAATATGTATGTGTAAATTCTACTTTATGGTAGTTACATTAAAAAACAACAACTATTAGCTACACTACCTAATACCTTTAAGCCTTTACAGGTTGATACACTGTTAACAGAAACACATTCTTTTATTTATGTATTATTTAAAAATGTTTTGTTGTCTTTGCTGCCTTTGCCCAAAATGAGTATAAAACTTTGACATGCTACCATTCTGGTCTCTATTAATGGATACTGTATGTCAATGGAATTGCAAATAAAAGTTGCATAGGTTTAGAGATAGAAATCTTCATAGGGAAAAACCAAGAGCCCATCAGAAGATTTCTTTTAATTTGTAGAATTATAGTAACAGGTGTGTGAAGGTTACAGACCTAGGTCTTCGGAGACTGCGTGTGAGGGCCTGTCATACCTGAGTGGCTGCTCTTGCTTCCCATCTGGCTCTCTGATTGGCTGTGGCTGATGGGTGTGATATCTTCGCAGCCCTGCATGGGTGAATCTCGACCTGTAGGGGCAGAGCCTGAGGGCTTCTCGATATTTTTCAGCTCCATCTCTTCATGGTGGATCCACAAGTCTGGGGGCCTCAGATCCTTCTGACTGCCTTTCCTTTTTCCCGTGCTATGGGTGGCACGTTTCCTAGGGGAAGACATTTTGTTTGTTGTTTTACTCTGTTATGTGTAAGAAACAAAGACATTTCAATCCAAATGCTCAGACTCACACCTGTATTTGAAGGGAATGATCTTTTCCCTGAACTCCAAATCTCATTTTCAAGTCTAGTCTGATATGAGTCTATGCTACTGCATATCATAAAAAGAACATTTTATCCATTAATTCTGGTTTATGATCATGAAGGGTTTAAAAACTTGTACGGCACTCACACTTTGCAAACTTCATAGGCCAGTGGACCTGGTTATTTATTATTACAACAGTGAGACGAAAAATGCTTTTGTTACAAATAGCACCTTGAAGTTAAAGAACTTTCAGAACAAGCTGCATCTTTTAACCTTGACAGTGTCAATGGATTACTCTAGCATACCCATAACTCATACTAAATGAGGGAAAAGCTTTACAGTTGCCTGACATGTGTTTATGGTCAAACCATTTCATCTTGGGTTTTTTTCCCCCAGCTCTGCAGACATCTCTAAATCACAAATTGAGCTCAACTGAGAAGCGTCTGAGGAAATAATGTCTTTTCTAATTCATTAATGATATGCTTGAAGACACTAATCCTTTTCTTCATTTGTCATGGTGTCATTGTTTCCATAATTACATGCTTCTATATTCCAGGGTCTCTGTGTTTCTCAAGGGTGTTTCTCATATCCCCCTGTCGTCCTTCCTTGGAAATAAAGTCACTAGGAATTATTACGTTCACATAACAAAAACATGCTCTCACCTTCCCCTAGGCTGTACATAGAGCATTTAATCTTACAGATAAACTCCCATCATAATTTAACAATGAAAATACAACATATGCAGTTGAGACTCTTTTCCATTTTCTCAATAAATATTAACACAAACATTTCTTTATTACATTTACAAATAAAGGAAAGTACTACTACTAAATAACACTGGTTAGTTTTCTTTTCATATTGTGATCTGTCAATTATTTTTTAGTTTGTCTTACTGATATGGTTCTCCACCACTACAAGGGACATGGAAATGCAGTATCAGGCAGTCACACAGTGTATCCACTCCTTCTCATACTGTAGAGACTAAGTTGGCCAAATTTAAGCACTGGGTAGAGAATACATGAAGCTCTCATTGATAACTTCACTTGCACAGAAACACAGGTTTTGATGAAGCTTAATAAAACATGCATAATCAGGCTGAAAGTCTATTAAAAAACATCAGTTCCAACACTGAAAAAAGTATTATTGGGGTTTCTACTGTATGTCCAATATAGTACAATACATGCAAAACAGCATAAAAACCCTACAGGTTGTGAGTGATTTAAAAATACACACAACTTCTTCCAAAAACACTGGTTTGCTGATTGGTTTTCTCTACCTTTATGAAACATTCTGCAACAAATTAAAGGGTAGAGAAACCATAATTAAATAATTTGGAGCCAAGGATAAATAAACTTTGAATTTTGACTCCAATGTAAACAAATTTAAAAACGACTCCAATAAAAGAAAAAAATACAGAATTTAAAAGGAATTGATATATAAAAAACTTTCTGTATACTGTATACAGTACTGTACATAAATCGTTTAGGATGTGAACTCATAGGAATATACAGTATAATGTACAGTATATTGCAAGTGTTGGATACTTTTAACCCATGATTCAGTGTTAAGTGCTCTTTTATAATTAAACAATACAAAAAATCTCGATCAAAGCTTGATCAAATAAATGAATAAAGAAATAAATGTTTTTTATAATTTTCATCAACCTCACCTTAATCATTCATTCACGCTTAAGAAATTTTAGAGAACAGGGAACTCAATCAAATTGGGAATAACAATACTATACAGTATGTACAGACCTGTATCATCACAGGTCTAAAAAATAGTCACTTAATGGCAGGGCAGTATTTGAATACTTGATTTTTACTCAAATAAATCAAAATCCTGACAATACTTTCAATCCTGACAAAAATATGATTGAGACTACTGTGCAACGATAAAAGCATTGCTTAACATTGCAGTGCATTTATATGAAAAAATGAAAATTGTTGTGTATGTGACCACAGTATGATAGAATCAAATGTTATACAGTATGTACTGTCTGTTAAACTTCTAGCTTTTTTTACTGGACTTTCTATAAACAAAGAAAATTACAGTATATGAGGCTTTGCACTTGCTATGCTTATTTATCTCATTCTGTGATTTAAGTGTTATTTTTTTGTATAAATAGGGACTGTTGGATGTACTGTATGGATGGGTAGACACTGTAGGTGTGTAAAAACAATAATTGAAATTAATTTTTCAATTTAAATGTTATTTTGTGATTAAGAAGATTTAAAATGTGGTCTATTTGGAGAGAGAAAATAATGTTTTGAAGAAAATAATGCTTTGAAAGGGGATCTATAAACTTTCAAGTCAGTTTAATGAAATACTGGTACTAATACCACCACAACACAAAATTACAGCAGATGTTGGTTCTTCTGGAATAGATTAGATAAACTGACACATTGACACAGGGTTCATTCGTTGTCATGAGGTCAATGTTGCACCTATAATTGTTTGTATAAAAAAGTTTTTCAGTATTGTTTAACATTAATGTCTCCACATTTAAAAAAAATACAGTACTTTGTCCATTACAAATACAAAACCCGAGAAAGACAACATAGATTTTCTTCATATACAGCAGTTTATGAAATTAATTAGAGATTTTTTAGCTGGAGTTAGATGAAGCTGAATGGATTTTGCACCAATCCCCCCAAAAACTGAAAGTTGTCCTGTTATAGTGCCAATTTAAATCACAGTGTGAACTGGCAGTTCAACTGCAGCGTGATACTATTAGCATGATAAATTATTCAAACTACAGAGTTAAAAAACTGACAGGCAATGTGTTTGAAGTAATTATCTCACATTCTGTCAAGTGTGGCCTTTTCCTTTGGTAGTTTGTAAAGGAGACACCTAAGAGGAAGTTGTTTTTGTAACAGTGCCTTCTCTGGTGAGAGTTATATGATACTGCTAATGAGGACACGACCCATCGGGAGGTCCAGACTCGAAATGTGAACAACACATCCATTCCCATAGGATAAGACTGACAAACTGTTAAAAACTCATTCCAAGCTGGCACCTCCACATGCAGCGCACAACTGTTGTCACATCTATCCCCCCGCTCTCAAATGTCTACAGGCGATATTGAAAAAAAAATATATAAAAAAGAAACCTGCAGAGGTTTATTGTAGCTGATTAAATGCAAGCAAGCCCTTAGACACTAGAAATCAGAATCTAAATCTTCACAGAGAGCAGCATGTAACATACTGAAAGATTCCCCCCTCCTCCCCAATATATCTTAGACACAATTAACCATTAGTGTTACAATTTATGTACGTTATGAACATCAATTTACTCAAAGCCTCGAGCCAGAGAGAACAGCTTAGTTTGGTTGACTAGAAACCAGGCTTGCCATTTATCAATCTTTAATTCACACTGATCCGAATCTTCAAAATCTTCATCACAACAACCTAAGGTAAATTATACACGAGCAGCCAATATGTAGTACTACTCTGGCTAATCTATCACATTTACTATCAAATTTAAGTGGCTGACTGCCCGGTGTTCCTCATCTTTAATACCGTTTGTTCCTCCCTGCACATTCATAAAGCTGAAAGTCTACCTTTATACTACAACATACAGATGTCAAGCTTAATGGTCTAAATTTCAGCAGAAAATCACTGAAGAAGTGACATAAAGTCTACATAAAGAAGGAAACTGAAAGCAGGAGGAGAAGAATGTAAAATGTCTAAAACTTCAGCATGGCAGTCTATATGTATGCTAAAGTGGAGGAGAAAGCTGATCTAGATATGATACTGTATGTGCTGCATCAACGTGAAAAGGGAACTTGAACTTAAGGAGCACAAAACCGTGACATAATGGATAATCTGCTACCTAGAAAAGAGTGCAGATGCTCCTGAATCAGATCCTGTAATGAAAAACCATTAGAGACACACACCAGGTGACAGATTGAGACGAAAATACTGAATTTTCAGTGTAAAGACTTAAGGCTTTGCCAGTAAAATGCTGGTGCCAATAAATAGTTGAGCTGCATAGGGATTTAAGATCAGCTAGGGCTCTGAACAGAACTATAAATTTTTGTGTCTGGAATTGTCAATTAATGTAGATGCTAGCAACACGAAGGACAAATGGTCTCTTGTTAGCAGCCTTTCTTATGTTAAAATTGGTACAGTATGTTACTGTAATCTGAACAACTGAATAGATTGACAGTTTACTTCATTACTACATATTAGGCTCACCTTATTAAAATGATTTGAGTGAATAGTTCATCCATTAAGTATAACAAATCTTTGTTAAAATGAATTGAGATTTAATGTAACTTATTACTACAAAAACCCTTTGAATTCAATAATAAAAGTATCTCAAATGAATGAGGCTTTGCTTCTGTAAATGGTCACTCAGCCACCTATTACTACACTATATTTTAATATTCTAAGATTTGTATGAAATAATAGATTTGTATGAAATAATGTTACAATGCATTTAGACTATACAATTCTAATTTTCTCTTGTCTGACAAGGCGCTTGGTTGCAGTATCACTTAAATCCGTGATATTCACTCCTGGCCTTGGAGGGCCTTGGAGACTACTATATTTTATGGGTAAATTATAATCCTCAGTGAATAAAGACCTGGAAGCAGTAATTGTAATTAAAACCAATTTAGTGAAAATTTCATTCCAATCAAGTCATTAAGACTCCAGAATACGATTAAAACCAAAAGACACGGTGGCTCTCCAGGATAAAGAGTGAATATCATTGACTTTAATGCTTTGTTGCAAACTCCATGGGGGATTTTAGATATGATATTTAATAGCTTCCATTTTGCCAGTGCTACACAGGCCAATATGGGCATTTTATCCCATCTAAGCTTTTGAACTCTGTAATACTATCAAATGCGCCATGAGCTCAAGGTGGTATCCCTAACCAGTCTCCTCCATGCCCAGTTTCTCTGTTTAGAGGTACAACCTGATGTAGGCAATGTCTGGATGGTAAGACATGTTTTACCCTTTCAGTGATCGACTGATCATTAAGTTCATAGTGAAATTCTTTGTCTTTGATGTGGTTTAACTTTTCTCCACATATTTGCATTTCTGCATCTTAAGTCATGTGTTTTGAAAACTTGGTCCTTCACGGTTGAATCTTTGGTTCAGATTCATTACCTGATTGAGGGACCTTACAAATTTGTGTATTTATTCTAAAATCATGTGTACCACTATTACTGCACCCAGCGAGATGTCAATCTATTGATTGTGTGTTTTGTCAAAGTAATGTTGTGCACCTGTAATAATTTCAGTTTGCTAACATGCAGTGTAGAGGGTGAATACTTGTGCAATCAACACATTGTTTTGTACTTTTGGCTGAAATTTCTTTTTTTTGAAAGTGTTCAATTTTAGCAATCAAGGTTTGATAAAATATTTACTGAAAGGAGGATATGTACACATCATTTGGAAGGCACAAATAGTTGTGTAGGCCAGTTCATGTACAAGGTGATTTAGTAGAAATCTGTCAACTTAAATGTGAAAAATAGTCTTTAAAGGTTTATTGTTCTGAAACCCAACTATACCTTCATCCATTCTCTAACCACTTCACCCAATTTAGGGTCATGGAGGTGTCAGAGCTTATCCCAGCAAGCAAGCAGGCACAAGACAGGATACACTCTGAACAGCATACCAGTTCATCATAGTATCCTTAAACCCAATTTTGAAATTGCACTTAATTGTATTTTGTTATTAAAAATACAGAGAAAATTGTTGGAGTAAAAATCTTTGAAAACGACAAATATAATTAATGTTTCACACTGGCTGCTTACAGCCTGTATTATTTTCTTATTACAATCAAGGTTTACATTGACAGCTGTATTTCGGCTATTGTTTTTTATTTACCCAACTAAAAAATAGTTAAGATCATATCCCTGGTCAATATTAAATTAAAAAAATGGTTTATTTTGTACTGTGAGATATTACAAAGAGTCCTGGGATTTTTTTGGTTCTGAGTCTGCTTAATAGGACACAAATGGCAATGAGCGATCAGCAAAATGCATCATTATTTCACAGCTGGCATAAATTACCATGTGTTCCACACTTGGAAGTGAGCTGGAAGCAATTAACAGGCACTTGACTCAGAAGAAAAAAACCCTTTCCAAACATATACTACACTTCATTTCTATTTAAGACTTTTGTCCCTTCTGCATTATTGTAAGGGGCATGCAACATAGGAGCCCTAAAGTTAATTGGAGTAAAACTGTTTGAATTTCCGATTAATCAGCAAGGGCATTGTGGAAGCTGTACAACAGTCCCCCTGTGACTTACTTCCTTTGTTGTGCTGAGGAGCGACGTGTGCAAATCACAGCCACGATGACAACAACAACCACAGTCACAGCACCAACAGAGACCACGATTATCACCAGCAGGTTACTGTTCTTCTGTGGGGTCACGCTGCCATGGGAAGGGTGAATCTGACCAATGGGAGGCTCTGAAAACCAGAACATAAAACAGACTTTCAGACTGCAGAAGTGATTAAGTAAACAGTAGTTACATGCCATATCATAAAACCTAAACCTGGAGTTTTTTCAGTGACAAACAGCACCAAGAAGAATACAGGTTGACAAAAGTCTCCAATATATAAATAGAAGTGTGCTTTAGAAGATTTAGTCTGTTAGCAATAATTCTAAACAGGAAAAAAACCCGACGTAAGACAAATATAATCATTTTAACGTGAATACAATTAGTAGAATGTTTATGGAATTTCCGCAGATTCAATCTAGATACTAGCATACTATATCAAAGACTTTTTTGAAGAATTTCATAAAAAGACGCGGTCCTTAATGTTTGGCCCATTGAAATAACAAAAAAGGGAAAAATTTTAATGAACCCCAAAAATCTTGTCTAAATTAATAGACAATGAAGTTCTGTATGGATAATGACAGTTCAATGTGAGAAACTTTGTTATTACAGTACGCTTCATACTCTTCATCAAAATGGCAAAGAATTATTTCATTTAATTTGCTGTGATTATTATTTTATTTTCTTATTTCTAATTTTAATTATAATACATAAACTATAATTTGTAGAATATAGAATATTTTCATTTTCTGTGGAAGATTATCTTTAGTATATTAGAATGTTACTAATGGGGTCTGAAATGTTCTGCTATCCCAATCTCCACATCAGCAGCAACTGATGTGCATTACCAGCACTGAGAGTATGTTCCTATGACCTGACAATAACTGTAACTAAATGTAATATGATATTGGTACTGTATATGCCTCTAAATTGTAATCATAACTGTAAATGTACAGTTATATAAACAAAACTACACTAAACTAACATGTTGTGCAAAAGTTTGGGGCATTTTACTTTGTTTTACTTACTATTTTATGCCGCTAACATACTGACTGATTTGCTTTTCTTGTTTTAGTACAGAATGTAGCCTTTTAGCTTTATGGATCTGTGGTTTTATTGATAATCAAGATTAGGTACTGCAGTATAGTACGTCACATTGGCTGCTTGTGTATAGCATTTGTATTTGTCTGATCAAGTTTTGGAAGATTCAGATCAATGTGAATTAAAGACTGCTAAATAAGAAGCAATCTCAGTTCATCAATCTTCTTTTGCAAGGCTCTGTATATTATAACTATCATATAATGTATTGTACTAAAAGTACCATTTAATTTAGTAATAACCAATTATGGATTTAAAAAGCACATTTTGCTTTTAATGTCGGAAACAATTATGCAGCCAACAACTGCAATGGATAAAATGCGTGCTATACGGCAACACAACCCTTACAGCCATCAGACAAACTCATGCAAATAAGGTTTTATGAAGCAATACAGAATTTTGTATTGCATCATTGGCCTTGGGCTCCATCCTTCAAGGAATGCCTGCTTTCTGAAAACCCGGTGAAGCTTAACAGCCTGACCGGCAGCAATTCCTGGTAACAGTTTATTGCCACTCTCCTTCAGTGAGCAGAGCTAAGAAAATAGATGAAAGCAGGGGAGGAAGAGGTGAACCAGAAACACTCAGCAAGATTAATTGCTTAGAGGTAGCTTTAAATATCCCTTCCTTACCACTCATTTGATGCATTTGTTCTTTAATTAGCAAATGTGTGTTAGCTACTCATTCTGATGACGTACAGTATGTGCTACAGGGGAAGAATCAGCATATTCTTCAGTGTTCTGTGTTGTACTGTATGTAGGAGGATAGAGAAATTAGAATCCTGCCGGAACCATAGTTTTTCTTAATTTTTGCCATGAACAGCTTTTTGTGAACAGTAAATGTTCCACTCAGAAAACACTACAATGGTAGTAGCATAATTGCATTCCATTAGTTGGTGTGCATTTCATGTATTAAAAGAAAAGGGGCACATTCTTTCAGCAGTACTGCAGAATCTATGCTTATGAACTGATTTTCAGGCAACACAGACACCTTTAGTTTAAAGCATTCACAGAAAAAGAAGAATATGCTATGCTATCTACCTTTGATTAATGTTCAGTAAATGTTAAAGACAAGACTGTTATTTGTCCTCAGATGCCATGACACTAATAAGACAAGGGATATAGCAAAAACAAACAAGAAATATTGTCCTCAACATTGAGTCTGGGTCTTATTTTCCATGCTTAATATCCTGTGCCTATGACAACTCATGCTCAAGATTTTAGAATCCTTTGTTCCAGAAATACCAATTATACTCTAATTTATATCCTAAATATCTTTGTAACTTACGTAATACTAAAGAATGATAACACCATATGGTAAGAATTCCACAAAATGACATATGTAAATTGTCTACAGCCATTTACAGTAATACAGAAATAATACATAGTGTATCCAAGACCTTAGCTGTGTAAAGTTTATTTCACACTACAATCAAGAAAATACAGTAACTATAACTCCATAACTTTCCTCTTTGAGTACGTGCCCTTAATAGAAGCCCCCTTCCTCAAATGTCATGGATGCATTTACATTAGAATTAGCTTCAGAGCTGTGAGCGAAGAAGCTGCTGAGTTCAGCTGCCAGACTGCCAAAGAGGTCAAGATGTCATGTTTGGGAACTCAAGGAAGAGGTAATGACACCCGTGCCCCTAAGAAAAGAACATCCTTTGTAAAACTGCTAACCGCAAGAGTTGGAAAGGTATAAATACCCAGAACTGATCCATTATTTATTGCATTGTTGAACAAGGCAGTGGATATGCTAGCTTTGCATTTTGAGGTATACATAAAGGTGACAGCTTCCAAACATCAGGAAGTTCCCTGTGAGAATATCACATGTAATATAATGACTGAAATAATGATTTTCAGTTTTTTTTGTTTTGGTCATCAGTATTGCTCTTTCCGTCTTATTCCTGAAGTACTATCCATGGCTGTGTAGCATTACTGGATTGTACTGTAGCTGTATAACGTGAAGCTGATGATTATGCATCATGCAATGTTGAATCCATTTATCCTGTCAGTTCAGCAGCACTTTAAGAAAATGACAGGTTGACTGGTGCACTTCTCACTACCTCACACAATCACACACAACCACCAACACTTTTTCAGCAAACAATTTATATCCAGTAGACATACTGTATCCCTTTTGGTACCTTTAAAGTTTAACTCTTAAATTAAAAACTAGATAATGCAATATGAAAAACAAAATCTCTGCTATATTCAAATTAATAGCAGTTGAGCATACAAAACCTTGGGGAAAATTAAAAAGGAGAAGAAAATGCTTACACTGTCATACATTTCGGTAATCAGCATACTGATGAGAAATATAGCCAAGAAAAATGAAACTTGTTAACTTGTGACTTTAAGCTATCTAAATAAGACCACACTATACTTATAGAGTCTTTGAAAATGTTGTTGGTATATGTATTTAGTATAATACATTTTCACTTGGTTAACACCAAACTACGACCTGTGTTAGGAACATACTGAGAGAAAATATTCAGTAGGGATACAATACAGTATATTGTACAGGGATACAACATAGCATGAAAACAATGCATTTAATTGAATTTGGTATAGGCAAACAATTTCATGCTATGACTCCTACAGCAGTATTACTAATGGCAAGGGCAAAGCTTGCAGTGGATGGAGAGTGTCTGACATTTGTTATCTATTTTGCCTTATAATTTCATAAGGATATCAGGACTGAAAATAAAAATGGATCCTGACTAGTTACGTGTTCAGATCCATGATCATTTAGTAGGCATGCTCTACAGTAATCTTCACGAATTGGGAGAACTAATATTCAAGCACAGCCTTGTCTGTGAATGTCTGCCCACAAAATCTTTCAAAATGCATAGGCAGCCACAGCCAAGAACATAAGCTTAGATTAGATAAACCTGATATTTATATGAATTTATTCAAGATTCTTAGACTGGCAACAGGTGAATGACAGGAGCCACAGCTGGACCTTACTGGAGTAAAAGAGAATGCTCCCAGTTACACAGAGTAACACACCTAGTGAAGCCCAAGGCTCTTCTGCTTCTGGAATTGTATCGACAATCTCCCAAACACCATACTGTACATCAGGTTCTTATACTTTGCATTTTGCATAAAATCCTTTTTTCCCACAAATTGAATTTGTTCTTGAGACAGTGATAGTGATACATTCACACATGTGGAGACAAGGACTGATTATCTGTAGACTGTCATCATCCTCCATTCAATTCCCCTCCCTCTACCTTTTTTAGATCTGGCAGTTTGTTAGCAAGAAAGCCTTCAGAGAATTAGACAAATAATGATGTTCTACCTGGTATGCTAGCTGATGTGAAAGCTTTTTGTGCTCGATTGAATCTTGTGCCATACTCTGAGCTTGTGCCAGTGTTTGCAGAGCACAAAGACAATTTGTGTTTGGTCTTGACAGTCTTGGAAAACTACCAGAGGGATGAACTTTTTAATTACAGCGAAAGTTTTGCTTGGGTGTCTATATTTGGAAAATCATAACATAACATGACTATTGTGAGGACGGCTTTCTATAAAGTCATTATGCAGCTCTATCATAGGATTTGTTGCTTACAAATCCTAATGCTTCCATACCCTTGTCCAGGGCAAACCCACAGTAAGTATGTAATTAACACTTTCTTATATGACATGACTTGAATTATGTGTTTTCTGTAATATTTTTTCAAATGTTATATTAACTATGTTAAAAAAAAGTGCTAATGAATATTCATATTAACAAATGAATAGAAGGTGTTCATTTGGAAAACAAATTACTAACATTTTCAAATTAGTTTACTGAAGTATTAATTCAGAGACTTGTTTTACACATTCCCCAGATAAAGTTCTAGAATGCTTCTCCAATTTAATGTTTATTCAATTTCAAATAAAATGTCTTCGTATTTAATCTAATTTTGAGTATAAATTGTTTTGTACTGGTCATATCTCCTCAGTCTGACATTGGACAGGGAGACACCCTGGGCCTGGAGCAGCTGGCTTCTGTTCTGGAATTCGCCATCTGTTCTGTATGGGAGATGAGTGCAACCAGTGGTGGATATGTTTCTGGTAGCCTCAGCCTGCAAGATGAGCTGAATGGCCTCCTCTCATTTGTAATGTACCTTATGTTTCCTGAGTATTGATTTGAATACAAGCTACCTTGAATAAAGATAGAAGAAGTGGTTACTTTTATATAAAGCTTAACCACAGCAACTTACAGTATTCTTCTTCCAATCAATGTACTATACTGTAGCTACTCTATACTGTATAGTGTACATAATAAGACTTCCCAGAATATCCCATAGAATTCCAGAAGGCTTCATAGGAGGGTATCCACTTAATCCTCCACAGAAGTAGAGCACCACCAGGGTGAAGCAAACTACACAGCAGCTTAGATGGAGACATTATTTCACTGATTAAATTAAGGAGAAATTAAGGGAAATTTTGAGATTTGTGCAAACCTCAGGTGGGATTGAACCTGCTCTCATTAACAGCGCTAATTGATTCTTCAGTGAGTCAGGTAAGCCTAAACATTTATTGCACTGAAATTCAAGTAGGTAGCTGCATCAGCACACAGCCTCCAAAGGGACAAGTAAAGGTTTATTCCATGCTGAAAACAGAACAAAAACACGTTTTGGTGTGGGATTCACTGATATGTCTGAAAATTGTGAATATTTAGCAATTTCCTAGCATGCAATGTGGGAGGTTGCTATAATTATAACATTTAAGAAATGTTTAAGTATCAGATTGGGATTTTGTATTTTGCTTAGCGTGACTGCATTTGAATTATCGGCACAGGTAGGACTGTTAAGTAAAATGCATTTTGTCTTAATTGGGCAATTTTAGAAACCACAGTTTGCACTAGAACTTTATTACATTACCTGAGAGGACAAAGGGAGATAGAGGTCAGTGTTAATCAAAATAAATAAAAGATTAATTTACCATACATGATTTCATTAAATGAAAAAAAAAACTACTTTTCATTTTAATATGTTCCAACTTCGTTTTTTAAAAAAGAGAGATGCGTGTCTTGGCAGACAACAAAACAAGAGGTTTTGATCAAAGCTCATTCAGTTTTTACAAGATAATATCCAGACGCTGGCTTTAATTCTTTCTAATCTGTGCAGGGGCTTGAGTTTGGCTGCAGGGGAGCAGTGGAGCAGTAAATTAAAGCCGAACTGCTTCTTTCTTTATAGGCATTTACTTCTCTGTCATCAAAAAGAGGGAGAGAGAAAATGATTAAGTATGTAGAGACAGCTGGCAATAAAAAGCACATTTCTCGTCTTAAGACACAATGTAAATCAGCAACAAGTCCAACGGCCTCTACTCAGACCCATAGAAGGGGACAGGTCTTTCCTCATTTTGAAATCCTTCCACAATCATAAATATGAAACAGAATAAGCTGCATGTTAATCTATTTGTGTTTATTGCATTTGGTACAAATTCATGGAAAGGATGGGCATCCTGGACTGGATTATTCACTATATGGTGTAGAAAATCCTAGCAGAAGTGTCCACATAACCCTCTTAGGACCTCTGCACGACTGAGCTCTGATTCCCAGCTAATGCCCTCTGGGAATGTTCTGGAATCCAGAAAACAGTGAACATTGGGCCAGTCTTCAAATTATTGTATTTCTGTCATGTGAAGACACAAAGCTTTTAAGTAATTATATCCCCTCCGTGACAATGGGCTTGCAAATGTTCAGTGTATACAACTACCTATTAACAACAGGATACATATGCTGTATATACAGTACTAGTATATACAGTACTAGTAATATTGTAATGGACACACCCTTAAGAGTGATGAGGACGAAGGAAGTGAGCCTCATCTTTGCTAATGGATCTGGACCTATATGGGATGAGGTAATGTCCTTGTATAGAAGCCAAAGGTTTCTTAAAAAGGTTCAATTCTCTGTCAGAAACTGCTTACACCAGGAACCTATAAGATTAGATATAAGAGTATAAGAGAAAAAGATAGTGGCTTCCTTGGAAACCTGGGGGTGTCCTCTGGTTGCAGCACAGGGTTGTGTTGCAGCAAAGGAGGGGGTGGGGTTGTGTTACAGGTACAGTATATCTCTAAGGGCAATGGGGGCTTCAGTGAGTGAGATTCCAGGTCTGGATTTTCAGCAATAAAGTAATGCTCTTGCCTTGGAAATCAGTGACCAAGGTTTGATTCCTAGTCAGACCAGTTCACTCCCGGAGCATTACAACACATACTGTACATGTATTTCAATTAATCTCTTAGCACTATTTCCAGAAGTACATATCAATATATCCTTCTTCACATTTAGACATGTACAGTAGGTGTCTGTGTGTCTATCCACTTATCGAACCAAATGGGTCAGACTTTCTTATTTTACTGAGATTAAAAATGATAGAGAAATCCCAGTAATTATTTAAAAAATAATTTCGGAATATATACAATGTACTGTATATAATACATACAGTACATAAAATGTACATTTATTTGATGAAACACCCCTGCCTCCATGTCAGATTTCCTTCTGTTTAACCTGCTACAGAGGTCCCGAAACATTCTTGGTGCAGAGTGTGTAAGCAGTCTTCAGCAGCAGTTAATTGATTTCTTTCTTTTTGGTGAGCTACTAAACCTTATAGTCTTAAAGTTATGTGGAGGGCATTTTCTTAAGGCACATATTCGTTTTGCTTAAAAGTAGGCAATGTTTTTATTTCAGTGATTCCTGCAGCCCTCCAAATATCACCTCAACAGAACACCATACCTTCAGTGTTTTCTGCATCGATCTGCAGCTTTATGCCAACCCCCAGTTAAAAAAAAAACAGAAATTGAAACGGGGACCATGCTGTAATGATCCTACTGTAAGTCTCAAATGGAAATAGTAAGACATAATTACTACTTCACCCAGCCACTCACCCCAGCCACTCACCCCACTCTCTCTATCTTTTCTGCTCAGACTTTACCTCCTGTGCTTATTTTGTCACCACATACACGGTATTAATAGTATATTTCCCAGAGGATAAGGTGGACAGAGTGAGCTAAAGGGAAACAAATGATTTGTGTATATGTGGAGGCATTGCTCTCTTCTGGAATGCAAATGTAATTCATGCTGTGAAAACATGCTGATTTTATTTTTAAATTTAATCATACTTCAATGTTCTTTTGATCCTGCACATTTACAACCGTTGCCGGCACCTGTTGAAGATTCCTGGTGAGTGAAGAGTCCTGTGATCTAGTTCATTCAATGCATGTTTAATCACAAATCAGAAACAGGTGTTCAAAACTAAACTGACATCAGAATAGAAGAGATCCAGGTTTTGTGATATGACCTTTGCCTACAGATACATTAACAATATTGACATGCCTGATACATGCAATGGGCTTGACACTATGGGCCACATTGACAGGACGGTGTCAGTACAAGAATGCTTGTTACAGATGAAACATGCAAAACAAATCATTAAATGCAAATGGTACTCTGAAAACAACAGTATATACTAGAAAATAAGATCTAGTATTTGTAGTATGAACAGATCAATTCTTCAATGTCCAGAAAAAAACAGGTCTTCAAGAGTAGACTGATCTTTTTATATACTGTAGCTTTTATGAGTGGCAATTATTCAAATACTGAAGTATTTCTCCTTGGGTGGCAAAAATGCATGTTACGAAGGATCCTTGCTTTTCATGTAAAACCTTGAAAACAGCACACCATAATCAGGATGCTTTAACGCCGACGATGTCATATTAGGAACAGCTGACCTAGTGGTACCAACCCCATACTTCATAGAGTGGTTAATTGAACGTGTTATAAAAATAAAGTCATGTTAATGTCTAATCTTGGAGATTACAAACTGAAATGAATTCCTCTGTAATGTCCTCTCATTGTAAATACAACTCTGTTCTGCTTATTCTTACACATTTCAGACATAAAACTTTAAGTATGATAAACTTTTTGTAGCATTTATCAATACTTCAGAGCAAAGCATGAAGAGACCTTTCACAGGCCATACTGCCCTTTTCACATCTGTTACTGCCAAGACATTCAGACTGAATTGGCCTCGAAGAAACACTACAGAGGAGACAGACAAGGGAGCAATTACTCCCTACAGCAAACTGCGTGGTTTGAAAGTTTGGGTTTAATTTAGTCCCAGCGCTTACCGTTAAGGCTGCTCCTATCAATCAGATTGGTGTCTGATGGCCAGTACCCTCCGTCTCCATGGCGACCTAAAGAGCAGAAGGTGATTTTAGAGAGCAGGTATTAGAGGAACAGGAATGACATCTGTTACCTGACAGAAAAGGTCCTTTTTTAAAAATAAAAAAGCCAGTAGCATACATTTTTTTTCTCACAAGTGGTAAAGTACATACATAATGGTTTATACAATACCTAGTTAACTCGTAAACTGATATCCTATACTTTGTTAATGAAAGCCCATACAGTACACACAACTGAAACTATACATGTAATTCTAAAATAATTGAATCATCAATCTTCAGATATTTATTATTATTTATTGACAACTATTTTACACATTACTATATAAGCAACAGTAAATAATCTGTTGAACATGTATGTCATTAATAATTAAGCATTACATATTTTTCTTCATCATGGGTTTGAATCTAGGACTTTAATAAAACCTGACAGGAATCAGATGAATTAATAAAATTCCCCAGAAATGATAAAAAGATTTTTCAGATATTTAATGGCTCTATCAGCAGTAACTTCAAAGGTGACTACCATTGCTTCCTATTTATCAAAACACATTTAAATGCATCACAACATTGCAATTGTAACAAAGGTATCTTAAGATGATGTTTAGAAATTATTATTATTGATAAAATATTACAGGAAAAATTCAGCTCTTGCTTTGATTAACTTTACTTTCATGCCAGATCTTGTCAATATGCAGAATTAGAATAGACTCTCTGTGTAGATCATAAGAAGTCCATTTTAATTTTTTAATTCATTTAAAAATCCAGTGAAAGGCATAAAAGTACTTCTAAACCAAAATATTCCAACTGAATCGCTGGTGCTACAGGGCGTTCTTAATACTCAATCTTTCATCTTCTGGAAAAACAAAAAAGAAACAAGTACTGTATGTGTTATTAATCTAATTAGCACTTTCTCAATTCCCTTCTTCAACACCACACTATGTTCTTTACAACATGGTCCCTTAACTACAGAGAAATATCTACACAGTGCTTTGAGGAATGGCCAAAATATTAAAAAAATACCTTAGTCAAGCTCAAGACCTCAGCTCTCAATTAGATACTGTACAGCACTTTTTGTAGTTGTATCTTTGTAATACACACTAAGAAGGAAAATGTTATCCCTTTTCCTGAGGAATATTTTATATTAGCACTATTTCCTTGGAAGCATGACTTAAACTTGTTCCCTAAGGCAAATATTCTACTCCAAAATAAAAGGGTGATACTTTTTGCTTTAGAAACGTTTACTACTTCCTAACTGAATAATTGTTTGCCTAGCATTACAGGCTGCTGGGGGATATGGACAGTCACAGTGAGGAGTTTGAGAGACCAAAAAACAGATGAAAGAGCAGCAATTATTACTGTGAAGCATACATCTTTTCACGACACTATCGCGTACTGTAGCTCACCAGTAAATATATATGCCATTAGAGTTTTGCACAAATTAAAGAGTTTATAGTGGCTGTCTCATAAAATAATAAAAAAATAACTTAAAAGAGTTATCTTTTCTGTCAGTGACAGCCTGGAAATAAAAGGAGAGAGTAACAGTGTGTTTTGTTGAAAATTGAATATTGAATCATTTCAGCTGTGCAGAAAGAAATGGGTGAAAGGTTGGCATCAGCCTTCAAGTAGACTTTTCACGTTCAAATCAAATTCTAGGCATGTTACAGGATGTGAATTTTCTGTACATCTCAGCTGTACTCCAAACAAAATGTAAATACATTAAATATGTACTCTCTCCACATATATACAGTGCCTT